TTATTCTGTGGTAGTGCTGATGAGCAGGATGAAAGTAACTCTTATTTATAGTTACCTTTGATGCCTCACGATTGTGGGACATCAAAACCATGCCAGAGCGCTCAAACTGCAAGCAGTGAGCGTGCGCAATGCGTAAGCGGCATGGCTCATCCTGTAGAGCGCTCAATATGACCTAAAGGCCATAGAGCGATATCTAACTATATATATATATATATAAGACAGACAGATGAAAATGCTCTAGAGTGTGTATTATATAATTTCTATACCCAGCGCAAGCAGAAAGATGTTGTCTGCCGCTGCTGGGTCTTGAACCCGCGACCTTCGAATTACTAGATCAACGCTCTACCAACTGAGCTACACGGTCAAACGGATTTAAGACTGGAAATTATGAAATATATACTGAATGTCATAAACATACTCGTTTATATTAATTCAGCATCGAACAATACTATAGTTCTGCAAGTATTATGTCAAGTTGTGTAATTGTACACTCCGTAATATGTTAAGATGAAAATGTTCTAGAGTGTGTATTATATAATTTCCATACCCAGCGCAAGCAGAAAGATGTTGTCTGCCGCGGCTGTATCTTGAACCCGCGACCTTCGACTTACTAGATCGACGCTCTACCAACTGAGCTACACGGTCAGGCGGATTTAAGACTGGAAATTATGAAATATATACTGAATGTCATAAACATACTCGTTTATATTAATTCAGCATCGAACAATACTAGTTCTGCAACTGTTATGTCAAGTTATGTAATTGTACACTCCGTAATATGTTAAGATGAAAATACAAACATGTTTTATAGAGAACAAACATGTTTTATAAGGGTAGGTATTTTTCGAGTTAAGCCCTTCGAGTTAAGCTCTCCGAGTTAAGCCCCATCATTGGCTTAACTCCAAGTCAATTAACGATTTAAGCATTCGAGTTAAGCCCCGTTTGGTGGATGTAAACAAGTAACGCGTGTATACTACTCGCAAACATATTGGCAAATATATGTAAGGAGGGAGAATGTAAAATTTCAGCAATTTTAAGAAATATATTTTACTTAGATCTCTGTTGCTTTGCGTACAGTTTAATACAGACAATGACATCGTGAAAGGTAGCTCGCCTCCATATGAACATGTCTAAGATTTGCGTTCTGCAAATGCCGCTATATATTATTTAGTTTTTAAAGCAGTAATTGCCGCCCTGAATGAGTTGTTGTTTACAAATCCTTATTGAGCTCTCTCGTTTCACATTGTCATTGTCTGTATAAAACTGTAGGCAAAGCAACAGAGATCTAAGTAAAATATATTTCTTAAAATTGCTCAAATTTTACATTCTCCTTCCTTACGTATATCTGCCAATATTTTTGCGAGTATACACGCGTCACGTCTTTACATCCACCAAATGTCGGGGCTTAACTCGAATGCTTAAATCGTTAATTGACTTCGAGTTAAGCCCCCGGCGAAAAAGGGCGTGGCAGGAGCTTAACTCGAAAAGAGCTCAACTCGGAGGGCTTAACTCGAAGGGCTTAACTCGAAAAATACTTAGCCCGTTTTATAAAATGTTTGATATCTATAATTCTATATGCCAGTGTTATATCCAGAAACAGTATCGTCACGCATTCGGAAACTGTCGGCGTAATGCCGTAATGTTTAATTTACATGAAGTATATTGTATATAAATGGTAGGAATTCTAAATTATTTTAAAAAATTAAACAAAGTGATAATTTAAACATTGGCGCACTACATCCTGGTTTTTGGTCTTTTACCATCAATATATTTAAATTTGTCAAGTGTTCTGCAAACAAACAACAACAAAGATTGTATGGTATGTACGATTGAATCATTGTTTTACTGTTTATTTTATATACAGGTCTGGGTAATTTAGTTGCAAAACTTGCAAATCTCGTTCATATAAACCTCACGTATGTTTTCTGTTTGATGGGCAATATGAATATAACTAGGAGCTAGAGTATAACCATGCACATGTCGAAGTACAACCATTGCATATTATGCAGTGCTTGATCGATCTACGTGCAACAGTGCACAAATTGCACGATGACCATATTATATAAATCAACACTCGTACTCATTGATTCTCATAGCCTCCTACTGTTGTTCTAACAGAAATTAGGTTTTGAGAAGGCATGTATATTATAGATTAAATTGTAGCCCAGCCTCCATAGTTCATATAAATTGTAGTCCAGCCTCCATTTACACCAATAATGAAAATTAAATAGTATTTCAATTTTGTTGCTAGTAGTGTATGAGATCTATGGGTCTTTTAGATCCCAGAATTGCCTAATTATTGTAAAGTCTGCATAAAGCAGAAAAAGGCTCTGCTTTTATCATTAACCGATGCCTATTGAGTGACCAAATATTGTCAGCCAAATCCACTTATTTGATTTATCCATGTTGCATTACTTTTGATTGCAAAACACCTGGGGCCGGTTGTATAAAAACGCAGTTAGCGCTAACTGCAGTTAAAAAGTAGTTAAAAAGCCTTAAAAAATAGTTAACTTTAATGACGTAGTTAAGCCGGTTGTATAAAAGTGTAGTTAGCCTTGACTGCAGTTAAAAAGTAGTTAAAGTTGACTATGCCCAAGGGGATAGTTAACTGTCCAAAACGTAGTTAAAAATGGCGTTTGTATAGGACTGAACAACATTTTTCAGTAAAACAATAATGAAAAGCAACGCGTACCTGAGATTTTCAATCGCTATCTTCCCTGTGAATGTTTCCTAACAATATAAACTCTTCAAACGCTATCGCTTTGGTGTTTTTACGATAACAGAACATATTTTTGCAAAGGACGCTTTCTCGAAGACGAAGTATGGTCCATTACACTAAGAAATACTGATATGTAATTGTCAAACAGCTATACCTTGGTTTAACGTAGACATCTCAAGGAAAAACTGCCTTCTTTTATGATTTTTGTTGCGGTTTTTCCTTGTTTTCTTCTTTATTTTTCACGTTTTCTAGTGTTTTGAATAAAATTCCCGCCTATTTGCAAAATACGAGTCCACAATCATGTTGAAAATGCGTGTCAGCGGTCGTTACTCCCTGCTTACTTTATGTAATCTCGTGTTTAAACGCCCCACGCAAGCCCCACGCACAGTTAACTACGTGATTAGTTAACTATCCGACTAACTACGTTTTGTGCAACGCAGTTAAGTCATGTAGTTAACTAATTACAGTTAAGGATTTAACTACAGTGATTAACGCTAACTACAGTTAGCGCCAATTACGTTTTTATACAACCGGCCCCTGGAGTACATAATTTGCCAGCAAAATAGCAGCAATTGATAAACTTGAGTACATAAACTGAATATGTCAAACAGAATGCATGTTGGCGTGTTAATGCGGTTTTAAGCGATTTTAGGCGATTTAAGTAAAATTTGACAGTTTTAACCCGCGATTTAATGCGATTTCGGGCGATTTTAGGTGATTTAAGACGATTTACCAGAGTAGGCCTTTACTTGGATGTTGTTTCTTTTGTTTCCAAACATAACCAACAACATGAACAGCGCGATTTCCCCCAAAGCAAGGGTTTAGAGAAAAATGTCAGAAGGACTATTGGTGACAGGAAAAGGTTCTAAAAATTAGCTGGTGGAAAGAGACTGTGCGTAATTGTCGCTATAGCTTGTGGGAAAAGCGTGGTTCTCAAAGTCTCCTATGAGAAAATGAATGGCAATTTCTTTGCAGAGTTCATTGGAAAGCATTTTTATACTTGTTTTGCAAAGTGCGGACGTAAAAAAAAAGGTCGACGCCTGTTTCTCATGGATAATGACCCATCAGAAGCGGGTAAAGCAACGCGAAGAGCAATAGAAAAAATCGATGCTGAATTTCACAAGATTCTGGCTAGATCGCCTGGCCAGAATCCGATTGAAAATGTCTTTCACTTTGTAAAGAAAACTTGTCTCGAGAATGAAGGAATTGCTAATAATATAACATCAGAAACGTTCCAAGACTTTTCAGCGCGGGTTTTAAAATCCTTGGAACATCTGTCAACTGGTTTAATTGATCGTACTATTTCAAGCCTGTCAAGTGGAGTAGATGCTGTTCTTAAAGCAAGAGGAAATCGCATAAAATACTAGGATTTCTATCTTTTACTGTTATATATAGTATTCCACGCAAGTTCTTATGTATTATCGTAGCTATAGTATACCACCCCCCTGGAGCTGATGATTATTCTATGAAAGACCATTTATTCCAGTCATTAAAAAGGCAGAGTCAAAATTTCTAAACTGCGCACTTATTGTTGCAGGTGACTTTAATCGTCTTAATGTTAACAGAATCAAACATCATTTTCAACTGAAACAGATAGTTCAGACTCCTACCCGCAGAAATGCGATTCTCGACATCATCTTAACTAATCTGCACGAGTATTATGAAAAACCTCTAATAAAGCCCCCTTTTGGACTATCCGACCACAATACTATCATTTCATCTCCAAAGGAAAGAGCTAAAGATCTAATCTCTAATGGCACCACCTTTAAGCGTAATATTAATCCAAGTTCCAAACGAGCCCTTGGAAGATATCTAAACTCGATTGATTGGCCTCAAATTATTCCATCTACTAATGATTGTGATCAGTTATCGAACATGTTTCAAAACATAGTCCTTACTGGGGTTAATATATTAATGCCGATGACACAATCAAAGAAATGTCCTGTCGATGCCCCCTGGATAACGAACCATTTCAAATCGCTGATCATTGAAAGGCAGAAAGCTTTTTCTACCTATGGCCCTAACTCGAGCAGTTTTAAATCTCTTCGAAACCAAGTAAATCGAGAAAGGAAAATCTGTAAATCAAACTATTATAAACTCCGTGTACATCAAATGAAACAAACAGACTCCAAGGAATGGTGGAAAGAAGTAAAGCGTTTAAGTGGAATGGCATCTACTAGATCTAGTGATATTAGAAATATAATAGATATTGAAAACCTCGAACAACTATCTGAGCAAGAATTAGCTAACAAGATCAATGAAGTTTTCTTGGATCCCTTATCTGTATATAAACTGCCCAGCCCCTTCTTCCTTTCGAGCTAGAAGTTAACAACCCTGAGTTTTTAGTAGCCACTGAAGAAACAGTGTATTCATATCTATCAAAGCTGAACCCTACAAAAACTTGTGGTCCTGATGAAATATCAAATTGGCTTCTTCGTGATTATGCAGCTATATTAGCGTTCCCAATTAGTACCATCTTAAATGCTTCCTTCAAGCAACAACGACTTCCATCGATGTGGAAACTAGCCAATGTTTTACCTATACCTAAATCTAAGACAGTTCAAATCTTAGAAAAAGATCTCAGACCTATCTCACTGACCCCGAGCATATCCAAAGTAGCTGAAGAATGTGTGGTAACTAGATATATTAAACCTGCGGTTCTAAAATCCATCGACTCAAATCAATTTGGTTCTATTCCTAATTCTTCAACCATTTTTGCTTTAATAGACATGTTACATCACTGGACCTCAATGCTGGACGGAACAGGAGCAACTATCCGAGTGTTTCTATTTGACTATAAAAAGGAATTCGATTTCATCGATCATAGTATCCTAAGGATCAGGTTAGGTGCTTTAGATTTACCAACTAGTATCATCAACTGGATTATCGACTTTTTATCGGATAGATATCAAAGGGTTAAGCTGTCAAATAGTTGCCTTTCTGAATGGGGCCAAGTACCGGCTGGTGTTCCTCAAGGAACCAAATTAGGCCCTTGGCTCTTCTTAATAATGATTAATGATTTGAAGAAACACAGTGAGAACTTATGGAAATACGTTGACGATACCACGGCGTCGGAAGTTGTATTGCAAGGCGAGCACAGTGAAGCTCAACTGATTGCAAATGAAATTTTAGATTGGTCCAATATCAATAGAATGCAATTAAATGCTGATAAATGTAAGGAGATACGAATTTCTTTTGCACGGAATCAACCCGAGCTTAACCCAATTTCAATTGAGAATCAAATCATAGAAGTTGTATCCGATTTTAAAGTGCTAGGTCTTAACATTAGCAACAACCTTACGTGGAATAAACATATCACTGAATTAGTCAAGAAAGCCTCCAAAAGGATATATTTCCTTATTCAACTTAAGAGAGCAAAATCCCAATACAAGAACTAATCACATTTTACATAACCTGTATAAGATCTGTGTTGGACTATGCTGTCCCGGTTTTCCACTACAGCCTACCCAAGTATTTAAGTCAAGATTTGGAACGAGTCCAGAAATGCGTATTTGGAATTATTTATCCCCATTTGAAATATGAGGAAGCTTTAAATCTCAGTGGAATTGAACATCTTTCCACTCACCATCAAAGCAGCTGCAAGAAATTGTTTAATGCAATTATCAAAGATTCTAATCACAGTCTACATTACCTCTTGCCGCCAAGGCATAACTCCATCCACGACCTGAGATCTATTAGATCTTTTGACATTCCAGTTTGTAAAACCAATCGGTTTAGTAATAGTTTTATTATGGCATCGAGTAGCAAAACTGAATAGATTTTACTTTTCATTTACCTATTTTATATTCTTAATAACTTTTGCATGCTTATTATAAACAGACACTTTTGACAATTTAGTTAATTAATTATAATACTTTGATATATTTCAAAACTCTAATTTTTAATAATTTTTAATTGTAAGTATAATACGCAATTCAGCTCATGGTTGCAATGTATTTACCATTTCTAAATAAAGTATAAAGTATAAAGTATAAGGGCAGTATTGATCAAAATAGGTGTAGCCACTTGCGCAAATAGGCAATTAGCTTGCTGTCAACAAGTAGATTAAATGCAAAGTACAATTATACGTCTTCACAAGGTGACTCCAATGGTGCAGCGACGCAAAATTACGAACAGTGTTTCCTTGATATTTCCTAATTATTTGCCAAGGATGCAAAAATTTTTGTTTTCGGATTAACAAAGTGGTTTGCATTACTTAAGTAAATGCATTTATTCCTTTTAAAATCTTATTTAGGTTATTATTGCTAAATTAAGATCAGTACTCCACAAACCTAGCTTAAATTCCTTGACTATCTCACCGAATTCTTTAGGAAAATTTAATAGATTTACAATGAATTTTTTGATGGAGTGATGCATGTATGGATCTATGACGTTATGTTATGCATATCTGGGCGTGAAACATAGTTGTAAGTACTTATTACATCAATGACTTATAATGCGATTTAATTATAACTTGTTATCTAAAACAAACTTAGCCAGGCAATTGTATCAATCTCTGTTGCTCTGAGCGAGGAATTTGCTTCCAGAAGTAAAAGAAATGCCACCTCACGTTCATCATGTCCGTATTAGCTCGGTCCCTTGCACGATCGGTGCGTCTGCTGTGATAAAGAACGGAAGATCAGCTTTAAGTTCAATGTCTCGTGGACATACGTTCTTAGGGGCTGGCAAATATTGAACAATATCTCCTTCAAGAGCTGGAAGGAAATCAGCCCAGGAAATAATCTTTGGATCCCAACTGAAATTGTTGAGAAAAATTATTTCTGCTTCATCGACTCCGATCCAAGCGAATGAACCAGTTGCAGGATTGCAAAACGCATTGTAAATTGCTTTCAGAAGTGACAAAATGAAGGTTTCCCCGTGTTTGCTGGTCCGTAAATATAAATATTCTGATATTTTGCCCTCCCCTTCTCCAGAATCGTGTAGATTGCCGTGGCAAATGCTGAAATCATAATTCCATGATGTCCCATAAGCGTTACTGCAGCAGTTTTCCATCTCCCTTCACAATCTGGAACGCAATTAGCACCTCGAAGTAAGTGTTCCTCAAGGATCTGTATTAGATCCTTTACTTTTTCTATTATATAATAACGATATTACAACGCATCTTCAAAGTAACTGTTTTCTTTTTCCTGATGACTCGTCCCTATTTCAAATTGTTAGTGATCCCCATAGTTCGTCTATATCTCTTAACCGGGATCTTGAAGAGATTGAGTCCTTGCCACGCGATTGCTTAGTCACTATTAATGCTTAAAAACCTGAGTCTATTACCTTTTCCATTAAACGTATTAAGCCCTATCATCCTCCACTATTTTACAATAACATAACATTCAAATAAAAGAAGTCTCGAAACACACTTATTCGGGTGTCACTCTTACCTCAAATCTTTCATGGAAAGCCCATATTCTTAAAATATATGAGAAAGCCTCTAAACGGTCGAACCTTTTGAAGGGCCTTAAATTCAAAATTCATAGAGATACTCTAGTTAAATTATATAGGGATTGTTGCCATGCTAACGAAGCCGAGCTGCTCTAGTATTTACAGTATGAAGCCGCTATTCTGATCACTGGTGCGATGAGGGGGACTGGCAGACAGGCGTTGCTAAATGAGCTTAACTGGGTTACTTTGCAAAATAGAAGATTAGTTCATAAACTTATCTTATTTTTTAAGATCGTTTAGAATTCAACTCCTTTATATTTACATAATGTCTTACTTCGAACAGTTATACAACGATCGAGTAGAATTTTGAGATCAGCTAATAATTTTTCATTATTTCCCACTCGAACGGAAAGGTTTAAAAATCTTTTTTTGCCATCAACGGTCAAGTCGTGGAATAATCTTGATCCTGATGTCCGAGATACTGCCTCGTTGGGGATATTCAAAAATACTTTAAACAATTTATATTATTTAAGGCAGAATACCAGTCGTTTGAATGTGGCCATTGACAGATACTCGTCTATAGTACATACTCGTCTTCAGTTAAACTGTTGCACTTTAAACTATCATCTTTTTTAAATTAATAGTATCGATTCTTCATCTTGCGTGTGTGGTGATCCTTGTGAATCAGTCCTTTCATTATTTATTATGTTGTCCTCGATAAGCTGCTCTACGACCTCCCTTAAGCCCGTTCTCCACTACGCGAATTTGTTCGCGCGACGCGATGCGAAAACCGAAATCCGGCAACGTGATTGGTCGGCGAAAAAATTCGCGGCGAAAAAGTAGGATCGCTTCCTACTTTTTATCTGTTCGCGCGAATAAATTCGCCTAGTGGAGAACGGGCTTTACTCTCGGTTGCTGCACAATTTTTAGGGGATCGTTGGAATCACAGCTCAGATAATCAAAAGACTAATTTGCTTCTTTGTGGGTCAAGTGAAATAACATTTAATGAAAATATGTATCTTTTTCAAAATGTTCAAAATTATATCAAGGAATCCTCTCGATTCTAATTGATCATGATTATTGATATGTGATTTCAAGTTCCTGTGTATCTTATTTTGGCTGTTTTTGTATACTATTCATACAAATTGCAAATATATTAAACTGTATTTACTGCCTTTCATACCTTTTCGTCTGTTTCTCAATATGCGTTCTTTATGCATCTAACCTACAGTATGTACTTTCTTTATGACCCTAGTTATTACGTAGTCGAATGTTTGACACTTTGCTTAATTATTATCCCTTGTGTATTGTGTTGTTGTAACTTTTTACTGTAATTTATATCTTCATATATTATTGTAATGACGTAATAGTTACATCATGCCTTAGGAGCATGCGCACTTGTAAGATAGAAGCTAGACATGTGTTTATGCATCGAAGGAGTACTATATTACATTTGGCGACGAGGACAAAAATAATAATAAAATATGGCAAAAGCCATACCCGATTTCGAACCATTTATAGTTTATGGGAACGACACTTCAAGTTCTTCTATTGCCACTCGCTGGAAAAAATGGTTGCAACGTTTTAACAATCTTATGGTCGCTATGGATATATCGGCAAAGAAACGGAAACGTGCTTTACTTATACACTTGGCTGGATCACAAGTTTACGATATCTTTGACACATTTACCGCCGAACAGAAAGGTTCTGAGGATGATTTTGACACCGCTGTGAAATCACTTACAACTTATTTCGAGCCTAAAAAGAATACGGAGTATGAAATCTACAAATTTCGCCAAGCTAGCCAACGCCATGACGAAAAGCTCGATTCTTACCACACTCGCCTTCGACACCTTGCTTCCACGTGTGAATTTGCAGACATGGATCGCGAAATTAAAACACAAATTGTCCAAACGTGCACGTCCCAACAGCTTCGACGAAAAGCCCTTCGTACTGAAATGACTCTCCAACAACTTTTAGATCAAGGCCGAGCCTACGAACTATCACACCAACAAGCTCAGGAAATGGAAAATAACAACACAGAATCAGTCAACCAGATGAAAACTGCTGCAACACGAAATTACTTTTCGAAGAACTTCAACTCACAACGTCAAGGACCAAGACAAGAATCAACGAAACTATGTTATTTTTGCAGCAAACCCTATCCTCATCCTGGCGTATGTCCAGCAAAAGGGAAAACGTGTCGACTTTGCGGGAAATTGAATCACTTTGCCGTCGCATGCCGTTTATCTCCACAAAAACAACAACATCGCCACCATGAAAGTGACAAACGTCAGACGGTTAAATATGTAAACGAAGAAATCGCAAGTGACAATACCAGTGAACACTCCGAGTCGGATGAATATACGTTTATGGTGCAAGATACAGACGAAAATACCAAACATCCAATGGTTAACTTACGGATTCAAAACCTAGCCAAAGTTAAATTCATTATTGACACTGGAGCGACAGTTAATTTACTCGAAGAAAAGGATTTTGAAGCCCTCAAACCGGAAATAACATTGCAACACAGTTCTATCAACATCTACCCCTACAAGTCCGATAAACCCCTCCGTGTCCTTGGAAAGTTTACTGCTACTGTAGAATCGCGGAAACGAATTGATGCTGCCGAGTTTTTTGTCGTTAGCAACAACGGTCGCCTTGGAGGTTCTTTGTTATCCTACAATACTGCAAAGCATCTTGGTTTGATTGCAATTACTAACGCTGTGGACACTGCTAAGAACACAACTGTATCCTGCAATGTTGCAATACCTGAGGAATTATTCAATGGCGTTGGAAAATTAAAAGATCATAAGGTGAAGCTACATATTGACGAATCAATTCCACCCGTTGCTCAAACCCATCGGCGGATACCATTCCATCTACGGAAACAGGTGGAGAAAAAGCTTGAAGAGATGGAAAAGGATGACATCATCGAGAAAACAGAAGGTCCAACGCCCTGGGTTTCTCCAATCGTTGTTGTGCCGAAACCCAAAAGTCCAAACGATGTTAGAATTTGTGTGGATATGCGGGCTGTCAACAAGGCAATCCAGCGAGAACGTCACATAACCCCCACCATAGATGACGTCATAGCAGATCTAAATGACGCTAAAGTATTTTCAAAGCTTGACCTCAATCAAGGTTATCACCAACTTGAACTCTCAGAAGAATCACGCTATATTACCACGTTTAGCACCCATGTCGGCCTGAGGAGATATAAGCGCCTTAATTTCGAAGTAACCTCTGCAGCTGAAATTTTCCAAAATACTATTCGAGAAACTCTTGAAGGTCTCAACGGCTGTATTAACATCAGTGATGACATCTTAGTCTATGGATCCAACCAAAAAGAACATGACAACAACCTTAAATCTGTATTGGAACGTCTTCAGTCTCGTAACCTAACATTAAATAAGCTGAAGTGTGAATTCAACAAAACCAGCGTTGAATATTTTGGATATGTATTCTCATCGCAGGGCATTTCACCTGACCCTCGCAAAGTGGAAGCTATACGCAACTCCCAACCTCCATCCAATCCAAACGAAGTCCGAAGTTTTCTAGGTATGGTCAACTTTTGTGCCCGATTCATCCCAAACCTTGCGACACTAGCTAAACCATTACGAGACCTGACAAAACAGCATGTCAAGTGGAAATGGACCAGTACTGAACAACATGCTATGGACAGTATCAAATCCGTGTTAACCAGTGAAACAACAATGGCTTATTATAATCCCTCGCACAAAATTGAAGTTCTTGTAGATGCAAGTCCAGTTGGTCTTGGTGCTATACTTGTCCAATATCCTACCACTAGAGATCACAGTGCTTCGCCACGTATTGTCAGTTATGCCAGTCGGGTATTAACTCCTGTAGAGACTCGCTATTCACAAATTGAGCGAGAAGCTCTGGCTATTGTCTGGTCATGTCATAAATTTCATCTATATTTATATGGTACCCAATTCTCTGTTATTACTGATCACAAGCCACTGGAACGTCTTTTCAACGACCCACAAAGCAAACCACCTGCTCGTATTGAACGATGGTTATTAAAGGTACAACCATATCGTTTCAATGTTCAGTATCAACCTGGTTCTGACAATCCAGCCGACTTTATGTCCCGCCATCCGTTGCCATCATCACCTACCAGCCATGAGGAGAGATGCGCTGAAGAATATGTTAATTTCGTTTCAATGCATGCTGTTCCCAAGGCCCTTACGCTGGAAGAAATCAAAGAAGCCACAAAAGCTGATACCACAGTTCAAGCTGTCATTCAAGCAATTCAAACCAAACAGTGGCATAATGCGAAACTCCAACCTCGTGTTGATCGCAAGTCGGTAGAATGTTTTTTTCACATCCAAAACGAACTGTCAGTTAACAGTGATCAAAGTCTCCTCCTACGTGGTACCCGTATAGTCATACCAAGTAAACTTCAAAACCATGTGATAGACCTCGCACACGAAGGCCATCAAGGCATATCACGGACAAAACAACTCTTACGTGAGAAGGTCTGGTTTCCGACCATTGATAAACAAGTGGAAGAAAAGGTTAGCTGCTGCTTAGCTTGCCAAGTCACAACAAACACAAGCAACATTGAACCATTACGTATGCCTGAAGCTAGCAAGAAT